GTTGTTGAGTTAAAACAGCTTTATTCCATTGCAGCCATTGGCAATTTTTTTTTTTTTTTTTAGGTACTGTGGATTGAGCCTGTGGAGTACTGGGCTGCATCTCCAACTCTTTTCTTTTTTTAAATTTTTAGACAGAATCTTTCTGAGTTGCTCAGGCCGGCCTTAAACTTGTGATCCTCCTACCTCAGCCTCCTGAGTGGGTAAGATTACAGGCATACCCCATTATGCCTGGCACTTTCTCTATATTTAATAAATGTGCCACATGCATATCTTCCTCTGAACTGCTTTAGAGCATCTACAGTGTCAATATGTAGTGCTCACATTGTTCATTTCTAAATCACATGACTGTGCATTTCGATTTCCTCTTAAACCCAATATTATTTAGAGATGGTGAGAAAATTACATGTTTATATATCTTTTTAAGAACGTACTTCCCCCTTTCCTTCCTTTCCTCTCCCTTCCCTCCCTCCCCTCCTTTGTTCCTTCACTTTTTTCTTTCTACTATTTAAGTCCCTCAAGACCCACTAAAGTTTTATAAGATTTACTTTTGCCACAGTTGCCAGCTGTTTCTGCCTTCTACAGAATTTGCTGTTTCATCTACTTCACACCATGTATTCAAGTGTCATCATTGTTTTAACCTTGAGAATGAGGCGCAAGGACAAGAATCATTTTTGAACTATAAATGTTTACTTCAGCAGCTCTACTCTTCAGAAGCCAAATGTGACCATGGCACTCAAATTGCTTTCTTGATGCAGCTCCAAGATATTTAATACCTAACAGAGAGTATTTGGGCCCCCCAGTCTGTACTCAGTGCCCGGGACAATCTCGATGACCTGGTCATGGTCAGATGGGTTAAGTCCTTTGAGTGGTCCCCTTGGAATTCTTCACACCAAAGGTGAAGCAGTTGCTCATCTCAAGCTAGAAAGTATTGAAAAGGGATATAGACGTGTATTTAGTCACAAAATCAAACACGAACATATTCTGGCTGAGAACTACTTTTTTCAGATTCCAGTGCTGGCATCATTTATACTTGATGATGGGAAATAGAAGAAAGTAGAAGCAAATATCACACAAATACAGCACCAAAAATTATAGAAGTCCAGAGACTTTGTCCTTAGAGGATACAGAAATATTTGTCTGATGATAAGAATTTCTATCCACTGCTAATAGAGTAATACAGAGATCATATGATATAGAAATGAAGTTTTTCTTTGTTTTTTATAGTATTATAAGTTATATGAAGAGAAAACATCCCTATATGAATATTTGATTGTTAGGCAGTTAGTGTTAAATTGGATTGTAATATTGTTACTGAAGTTAATAGTTAAAAGTAAAGAGAACATTTTATTTTTATATATTTTCCACATTAAAGTTTTTTAAACATTTAAATGCCTTATAGTTAAAATAGAACAACCAAAAAAACCTAGGCCTAACTTTCAACACAATTTATTTAAATAAGCTATAATTGTAGGAGAGTAGCTAGTATATGAATGGGAGGAAATATAGAATTCTGTCTTGAAAATCTTTCTAAGCAGGTTAAAAGATTATATTTTGATACAAGAATTTGAATATTTGCCTTTTATTCTACTTTCATCTTTAACCCTTTTCATATATCAATAAAACAACTCAAACTATAAAAAAAAGAATGCACTTTTGTGGTCATTTCTATTTTATAATGGTAAGAGAATTCCTCCTGTTTTGAATCAGTTAAGGTCTTATTTATGTGCAAACACTTTGTACAAATTTGTTACTAATTCCACAAGCATGCTGGGGGGTAGGGTGGCACCTGCTTGTAATCCCAGCAGCTGGGAATGCAGAGGTAAGAGGATCACATATTTGAGCCCAGTGTGAGCAATTTAGTAGACTTGGATTCAAAATTTAAAAAATAAAAATAAAAAGAGCTGAGGATATAGCTCAGTGGGACAGCCCTGTGTTCAATCACTAGTACCACAGGAATAATAAGCATAATAATCCCAGAAGTATCTGTGAAATCTTAATTGGTGTCTCCACTCCCATTCCTGCTCACTGATTCTATTAAGGTTGGTGTTTCTCTTCCATGGTCCCTGTTGTCCTCAGGCACTTGGTCACTGGGTATTTGTGGCATGTGAAACCTCTCTGTAAATGTGGCTTCTGTTTACTGTGATGAACGCAACAGATGCCATGTGTTTCACTTAAGGTTTTTGAAGCACTCAACAAAGTTCTACGGGATGTTGCTCCCCTAACAATCCTATTTTTCAGCTGAGGTTCAGAGAACAGAATAACTTGCCCAAGCTCGCACACTTGTAAATCACAAAGCCAGGCTCCTCACCAGGCCAGCAGGCCCAAAGCCTATTCAGTTCTCATGATGTCACTTCCTGCCCAAGTCTCCCACCTGTCAACCAGGCCACTGCCTGCTCCAAACCACCAGTAACCAGACAGTGCATAGGTATGCTTCTATTCTTTTTACTCTAAGAAAAAGTTGACAATAATAAGCTGCACACTGTACAAAATAGCATGGATTTCATTCTCCCCACCCCTAAAAATCTCACATTCCTTAGAGATCAACATTTTCTCTCCCCTTAAACTGCTAGTTGAAAAATCCCCAAGAAAGTGAAGGCCCCTAGAAAGGAGGATTCTTAATACTTGATCTTAGCATTTCAAATCATTGAGGAAATAAATTACAGTGAGAGAGGCTCTTAGCTGGCTTGGCTCACCTCTATCTCACAGACCCAGTGGTAGGGCCTCACGCAGGCGTCATCATTCCATCTACCATCACTGGTGAAGTGGGCACAGTCCTCGCCTCCTCCCAGCCCATGCCCATACCAGTCATCTGGCTGCTCTGGACTCCAGTTCCTGTAGACAAGAGAAATGACAAGAAAGTCAGTCTCGGCCCCATCCCCAGGAGTCTCTCTGAACACAGGGCCACAGGCCGGGAAGTAGGAACAGCCCCAGACACAGGACACAGAGCTTCTGGCAAACAAACATACGTAAAACCTCTGTCCTGGTCAGATCCACCCACCCATTTCCAGGACCCACTTTTGTCAGTTAGGCCTATCCAGATGTTCCTCTGTCTCGTGTTGCCCTCAATAAATCTCTGGGGAGAGAAGAATAAGATGGTGACCTCTTCCTTAGACCATCCAGCCTTGAATAAGGGCCTGGTGGGTCCTCACCTGCTCCTCCAAGGAGTTCACTATCACCAGGTGGGCATTCTCCATCTGGCAGGACTTGTTAGCCTCAAGCCAGGACTTCCCTGATTGAGAAAACCAGTAGCAGCTGCCCTCATGCTCCATCCAGTTACGAGGGCAGCAGGTCTTAGAACCTAGGTAGGGAGAGGGAGGGAGAAGGTGTTGAAGTGATGCTCAGTGGGCTGTCAGCTCTAAAGAGAGGCCAGGCACACCCTTATCGCTCCTCACCATTGCTCTTGAGCTCAACCAGCTGGCAAGACAGGGACAGCAGGTCTTTTATCAGCTTCTGGACTTGCATGAGCATTTGAGATTGATCTGGGACAGAAACAGATGTGAGTGGGAACCATGCTCTATGTGTGGCCTTGCTCAGTGAGCTCCTACCCCTCATGCACCTTGCACAGGACACAGTCCAGAAAACATGTGCTCCCACAAATACCACGCCGAAGTGCAGGGGAACAGCCATCTGACCTGCTTTGAACTCCTGCTCCTTTTTCTGCAGAGTTTCCTCCAGAGAATTCACTTTATCCTTCAAGCTATGGCCTGGAGAGGAGGGGGCTCAGCACCAGGAAGTTGTTCCCCTACATACCCACCCCTGCACTATGGAGACAAGGGTCTCTCACCTGCTTGCAGTTCCTGCCTGTGATCTTCCACCTCTGCTTTAAGAGAATTTATGCTTTCTTGCAATGTGCCATCTGGAGGACAAAGGGACTCAAGCTCATGAGGCAGACCCCTGCCCTGCTGCTCCTCATCCAGACCCACCTCATCCCAGTGCCCCTTTCAAGTTTGGCTCACAGTTGGAAGTCAGTCACTGGATGTCAGCCTCGTGGTCTGAGGTGAAGTTGCTGAAATTTGTACTCAAGGTAACCAGGTCTTTCTGTATGTTAGAACCTGATGAAGTGGAGGCAGTAATCAGAGATAAGATTTATCAGGTCCTCATTTTACACATAGTTTCCTTTGGTCCTTACACTGACCCAGTGGAAATGGTACAGGCCTTGTTGTTATCCAGAATTGCACACAGAGACACTAAGGCTTAGGAGGTGATGTAATTAGACAACATGGCCCAACTAATAAGTGACATGACCACCAGCCATCCAAATCATGGGTCCTTCACTATTTCCATCACTATCCCCACCTCTCTTATCAACTGTCTCATTACAGCCCCTCTGGCTGCTAGGCTGCTGATAGCAGTGCCACTGTCATGTTATCCCATAACTATCCACTGTGCCCATCACTGCTCCTGCCTTGGTTCTCACCATCACCCTAGCACTGCCTCACAACTGCACTCCCATGATTTCTCTCTTCCTGCCCACCCCGGGCACCCACCTTGGTGTCCAATCACACAGATAACCATCAGGAGCAGGAAACTAAGGCCCAGGGAGATCAGGATGAGGTAGGGCCTACAGCAGAAATTCCCCAGTATACTCTGGAGAGGTGGGGCTGAGAGAGAAGAGAGTATCATTACAAGGAGAATCCAGGCTGGGACAGAGTCAGGAGGAAAAGAGAGCCCCAAAGACCCATCTAGGGTTGAAGGCTGAGCCTTGGTTTTGCTGGGATAAGAGCTGAATGAGGAGATTTTGGGGGCGGCAGATTACCAGCCCTTTGACTCCTCCTGGACCAACACAAGTCCTCAGTCACACAGATCTCTCACACCCTTGGAGACTTATGTGCACACCCCTAAATGTGTACATTTATATGTATATGTATAAATGTGTACATTTATATGTATATGTGAGCCATATACATATAAATATACAGAGACAGGGACAGTTGGTGATATCTGAAGTCTTATCATCAGAGCTGGAGGAGACAGCACAAGGATAGAGATAGTTGGGGAGAGACAGGTCCTTAGCAGGTTCACACACATCTGCATGACTGGGCATGCAAATTAATGAGTTTTTCTCCCAAACCCAACTGTGCAAAGCACACCTCTCATCCCCACCCCATAGAGCTCTGGAAAGAAGGTCAATGGAGATCTTCTGTGTCTCTGTCTGTCTGAGGACCTTAAATCCTCTTCACAATGGGCCTTCAGAGGAACTGACCCACTCAGAATTAAGGTCCAAAATTGTACATGGTAGCAGAGCTGACATGACATGACAGCAGATATCCTACCAGACATATTAACAGCGAACTTTAAGAAAGACTGTTTCCTCATTCCTCTTACCTTTTCTAATCCCTGGGTTTTTCTCCTCACTCCCCAACTGCTTCAAGTTTTCATACTCCATGTTCCTTCTTGGACAAACACACAGCCTCTGAGGCTGTCAGAGCTGAAATTAAGAGACCAGAGTCCAGAGTGGAGCAGAACTGGAGCCAAAGAGCAGAGTAGCAGAGTGTAGCTGAGGTCAGAGCAGAGTAAGGTTCTAGTTGAGAATAATCTCCGAATTAGGACTATGATCAAATTGTGCTGGTGTTGGGCCGGGGATTTAGCTCAGTGGTGCCACCTCCTGCCTCGCAAGTGAAAGGTCCTGAGTTCAATCCCTGGCACCAAAAAAAAAAAAAAAAAAAAAAAGTGCTGGTGTTTGTAGCTGAAGGTAGAAATAGGTCAGGTTTGAACTTCGGGCAGGGGTTGAGTTGAGTAAACTTGGAGCAAAATTTATTGCTATGCCTGAATCTAAAATTGGGCTGGAGCTGAGGTTGTATTATATGTCGGATTGGCATCAGTATTCATGGTAGGTCATGGATGGAGTCAAGTCTAAGCTTGGCACCGAAACTGGAAGCAGAATAGCATTGAGGTGTAATTTTGGGTTGAGGCCGGTATTTAGATTCAAGTTGATTCTGAGGTTGAAGCTGAGGTTGGGTTAAAGAAGGAGCGGAGGTTAGAATTAGGCTTAGGGCTGTGACTAGAATTGGGGTTGAAGATCAGACTACAATTGGGCCAGAAATGAGCCTGAGTTTGAGTTTGAGTTTGTGACTGAGGACTGTGACCACCACAACTCAATCTAGAATATATGAAAGAGAATAGAGTCTCAAGTCTCCACTTGGTAATTAATTTCCACTTTGCCCTCTTATATTTCTTCCAATTACTCCCACCCTTGGGCTGGGAATTTAGCTCAGTGGTTCCACCGCCTGCTTTGCAAGTGCAAGTTCCCAAGTTCGATCCCCGGAACCAAAAAAAACCCAATTGCTCCCACCCAAGACCCAAAGTCTCCCTCTCCCTGCTTCTTCTAACACATTCCCTGTCCCCTTTGTCTCCCTGGCCTCACCAGCCCAGTTACCTGTGGAAAGTGTGAAGGCTGTGACTCTTGGCTTTGTTGTGCAGGCAGGAATGACCAAACGGGGGAAGTGAAGAACTGAATCCTGGACAGTTGAGGCGGGAAGGACCAAAGGAGAACTCACATGCATGACGCAGTCCTGCTGATCTTTGTGTATGAAAAGCAAAGTTCTACAGAATAGGACATCCCTTTTCCTCAATGTGGCACTGTAAATAATGAGAATAGATTGTAACTGGAACACCTGCAGAGATGTGGGAAGGACTGGGTGTGGACCCAGATTTTTTATCAACTTCCTGGGCATGTCTACTCCCCTTCCGCTTTCTTGAAGTTCCCCTGACTTCCTTGTTTTACCATGTGAGGGGAGAGCGGTACCAAAAGGGAAAGTCTATTTTTCTTCTATGCCTTATATCTCCATTCACCTTCTACCTCTGAATTTTCTAGAATTATTGGTGTTGCCATCCTTGACTCCCAGCCCCAGAGGAACCTCCTCATGCTCAATCCTTGCCTGACTCCCTGGCATCTGAGCAGCCTCTGAGGCCTTAACCATCAAGCTCCCCAGCTTGAGATTCATTCTTGTCACTCAAGTCAGGAGGAAAAAGAGCATTAGAGACTAGCATGTCCTGGGCAGGTTAAATCAATAAAAGGCACAAACTTTTACTGAGCATCAAATTTTTGAAGGGAGCTGTTCCAGACATTTTATTTAAATAGCCAATTGATTCTCACAAGCACCTTGGGAGGCATTTTGGATGATGCAAAGGAGATAACCAGGAGTCAAACCCACTGCTGCAGACACCCTGGCCAGGCTGTCTGCAAAGCTATTGTCCTCATGAACTAGATTCCAGGTCATGCTGTGGCCCTGCCAGTTCTCTCAGGACTGCCCTAGGTCCATGCACACATCCCTTTCAAGAGGAAGAAACCCAAGTGTGGACATGTAAAATAAATACATTGTAGAACATTTTTTATATACATGGAAATGTGTTCATCTACTTGCTTTTTTAGAAATTGAACTAAAAATGTATTAAGATCATTTCTCCACCTGAGTTCATGAAAGGTAATGTTCATTTCATCATATATCTCATCATTTATTTATTAAGCATTTCCCTATGGTAAACATGAAGGTTGTCTCCAGTTTGGTTTTGTTTTCTGGTTTTGTTTTTGTTATTTGATAGTTTGATTAGTATATTGTCTGAGTCACCTTCTCATCACTGAGAGACAATACCTGACATCCACAGCTTAAAGGAGGAGAGGTTTATTTTTGCTCACATTTTTAGTCCATCATTGGCTGGCTTCAAGATAGAAACATCATGGTAGAAGGACTAAGGTGGAGGGAAGCTGTTCTCCACATGGAGGCCAAGAAACAGAGAAAGAAGAGAGGAGCTACAGGAACAGCTATGCCCTTCCAGCCTCGTGCTCCCAATGACTTGACTCCAACCAGCCCCTACCTCTAACAGCAAGACAGCTATAGCACCCCAATGATCCAGTCACCTCCAAAAAGCCCTACTTCAGAGCATATGAGAGTTCTGGGCCTCATTCCTGATTTAAACCACAACATAAATGTTGCAGGCTAGTGCTACAGTTTGGATCTAGGATGTTCTTGAATGACCCATCTATTAGATGCTTAACTCCCAGCAGGTCACTACTAGTAGATGGTGGACTCTTTAAAAGGTGGGACCTAAACCCAGTATAGGGGCACATGCCAGTAATCCTGGCTACTGAGAATGCTGTGGCAGGAGGACTGCAAGTTGGAGGCCATCCTGGGCTATATAGCATGTTTAAAGCTGACTTGGACTACATAGTGAGACCTTGTCTCAAAAAAATAAAATAATTTTAAAAGGCTGGGGATGTAGTTCAGTAGCAGAATGATTGCCTAGCATTTGTGAGGCCTTCGGTTCAATCTCCAGTAACAAAGAAAAGAAAGCAAGAAAGCAAAAGTAAGAGTGAAAGAAAGAAAGAAAGAAGGAAGGAAGGAAGGAAGGGAGGGAGAAAGGCCTGGGATTTAGTGTAATGTTTTAGAGGACCATGCCTATGATGTGCTGCTCACCACGAGCCCAAAGCATTTGAGTCAGTCAATCATGGACTGAAACCTCTAAAACTATGAACCCAAGTAAATCTTTTCTCTTTTTAAGTTGATTATATCTTATTTTTTTATACTGATGGTAAGCTAACACATTGAGTTTTTGGATCCTAATGCTGAAATTGTATTTGGGATATGAGCTAATTATTAGGATCAATATCTAGGAAAGGATGGGGAAATAAGTAAAGCTGGGTAGAGGGAGACCAAACATGACTTTAGCCAGCTCCACAGGGAGTTTTGGAAGCTTGAACAGTGTCATCACAGTAGTTGTCCCAGCTGGCATGTGGGCCATAAAAAGTTCCAATTCTAAACATATCACGAGAGTCAAGTGGACAATATTGCCGATAAATTGCATGAGGGTTTCATTAAAGGTAGTTCTCTTTCTAGTCCCACAAAATAATTTGAAGTTTGAGCATTTCCCATAATTGCTGACTCTCTAGGAAAAATAACCCTGACTTTTGCAGTGCTGATGCCTAAACACATGTCATGACTTTTTGTGAAGATGAAGATCATGGAAG